TGAAGACCAGGTGGGAGATTGACAGGCGGATTGGTGGTGGCGTCTGCTATAAAGCAGGTGCTGTACCGATCCCTGTGGTGAAGAGAGAGCGGAGCAAAAAATGTAAAGCTATCGATTTACCGGTGGATCTTCTTTCCTACCCTCATCTATGGTCATGAGCTTTAGGTCATGACCGAAAGAACGAAATCCGGATCCAAGAGGCCCAAATTAGTTTTCTCTGTAGTGTGCCTGGGCTCTCCCTTAGAGATGAGGACCTCAGTCATCCAGGAAGAACTCAGAGTAAGACCGCTGCTACTCCACATCGAGAGGAGCCAGTTGAGGTGGCTCGGGCATCTGGTTAGGATGCCTCCTGGATGTCTCCATGGTGAGGTGTCCCGGGCATTTCCACCAGCAGGAGACCCAGAGGGAAACCCAGGACACGCTGGAGGGACTATGTTTCTCAGCTGGCCTGGGAACGCCTTGGGATTCCCCCGGAGGAGCTGGCCCAAGTGGCTGGGGACATGTGGGCGTCCCTACTGAAGCTACTACTCCCGCGACCCGACCTCAGATAAGCAGAAGAAATGGATGAATGGATTTATGAAGACCAGGCCCTTATGCCTCTAAATGCAATCTAGTGCAACAGTAGATGACATTCACCTGTGCAATTTAATCTCAGAACAGCACAGCTTGTAGAGTCTATTATGGCTATTAATTACTAATAAACTTCTCTATCTAACTACCATGGAAGGGTAGCAAGGTAAAAGAAAAGTAAAAATGTTATTAGATATGAAAAGAAATCCCATTTGAAACCAGGTATGATTAGGTGATTTATTTTTGATCACGTAATGTTTTTAGAGCTTATGGTTGATTTAAGTACCATACAAGACAGGATTTTTATGACCGCACACCAACAGCTAAGCAATAAGATTATTGACAGAGATTCTCATCCCATGAGGGCTGTATGATGTTCATGATTGTATGAGTGCGTAAAGACAGACAAGACAAAGAGAGTCCTCCCAGCCTGACTCTCAGTGTTGCCGTGGTGACAAGCAGTCTAAACAGGATGTCCTGTCTGAGACAGAGCCTTTTGTTCACGGGCTAAAAAAAGCCATGTTTGATTGGCTGAACACTGGGAATCAGGAAGAGTCCTCCTAAATGAACCCCCAATACAGTTTCAATAGGTGTTATTTTTAGCCAACCCAGACAGACCAAATGGGGCAGATTTCACACCGCTGTACGTGTACAAACACCAGAGGCTCAAAGCCTGCACAGAGCAAAGGTTTCGTTTTTTTCCTCCAAAGCGCTGGACGGCCACTGAAACGCATGCTGACACACAAAACAGGTGGGCCCCACCCTGCTGCCCCGCTGATCAAGGACAATGAAGTGAGGTGGTGTTGGCAGACTCTATACAGCATTATCTCATCCACAGCATACACTTCTTTAAAAACCCCCACCCAACCACCCCAACCCCCTCACCTTGACCTCAGAGCAACATTACACAATAAAGTCTGTGCAGCACTCTGGTTTGCTTTCTGTGTGAGTAATCTAATGTATATTCACTCAATCTCTGGGACTTTATAGAGCGTGAGGGGAAAAAAGTGTTTCAGCTATGGTTAAACTGAAAGTGCTGGTTTGCATTTACTTGTTTTTGAATTTACTGTGCTTTGCACAGGCATTTATCTTCTTTCAACTTTTCTCACTTTGTTATGACACAATCATTTACCTCAATGTATTATCTTGGGATTCTATCTGATCAAACAAATAAAGTTATAAACTACTGTAGGTGTAAAATACCACCTTCTTTCGTTATTTGTATTTTTTTGCCACAGAAAAAAATATCTAAACAGCAGCACATGTATTCAGCAAAACTTACTTATTTCTAAGAACCACCCTGTACTGCAGTTACATTGTTGTTTGCTTGTGTTTCTTTGTAAAAATATATCAGGGCCAGTCAGGTTGGATGAAGATTATCTGTGATTATTCTCTTTTTTTTTTAAATTCTTATTGAAATTAGGTCTGGCCATTCTAACATAAAAATGCTTTGATCCACACTGCTGTTTTGATGATGTTCCAGCATAATTTAAATGATTTTTGACTCAGACTGGCTTCCCTGTGCCTGCTAAAGAATGACATCTTTCACAGGACGTTGCCCTCTGTATGTTTCAGGGTGCAGATGGTGTATTTAAAGTGATAAGCAAAGACAAATGGTTGCACTGGATATTAGTAGGGGAAGAAGTACAAATGGCATTAGATGTTTTTATGCTATTTGTTTATAATTTGGTGGATTTTAATATGTTTGCATGGCTCTAGAAATCTGGGGTTTGACTTACACAAAGTCACAATCTGTTTTTGCACTGATTTTCTACCCACTTTGCTGTTGTTTCCAGGTAAAAAGAAGATGTCCCTTTATGACAGCCAGGCTCCAGTTTGTCCTATCTGCCAAGTGCTGCTGAGGCCCGGAGAGCTGCAGGAACACATGGAGACAGAAATTGAGAGGCTAGCCTCCATATGTCTGAGGTAGGTTGTGCACGTCTATAATCTCTAAGATTTGTTTATGTTTTAACTTAATTCGTTTCTAATTTTGCATGTGCCAAACCATAACATCATATAACACTAAATCATGTTTATGGTTTAGAACAGGATGAGATACACACTGCTTGAAACTAAAAGTAAAACCAGAAAACAACATATGAGACACTGGTTACTGTTGGGGTCATTTAACCTTTAAGGAGTGGGCTTTAGCTTAGTTCAGCCCTTCAGCTCACCAAGAAATAATTCTCTCGTGCACACATTTAGGTGCCATAAATCTGCATAAAATGGAGAAGCATGCCGTCAATGTAAAGCTAAGTGTTTCCTACAGGGATTAGGATTCACACCTGTGACCCCAGGTTCCACACCGCCTCTTTCTCCTCCTCGTGGCAGTTGCACGAGCCGTTTTACGAGGGATAAATCAACTCCAAGCCCTTTTAACGATGGGACACAGCCATTAGGATCCATATTTCACCTCAAACACATGCCGGCCTATGTATGTCTGTGCATGCGTGTTTGTATGTCTGTGTGTGTTTGCGTGACCCACTGTGCACTTTGGTGGCCTAGCTTTATGATAGTCCCCATTAACCCGGGGAAACAGGGCAGCAGACAGCATCACCCCGCATGGAAATCATACTTTATTTCCTGAACCATTACGCTGGTTGTGCTCCTGCTGTCCCTCTGCCTCTAAATCTATGAGTTGCACCTCATCCCTTTATCCTTCCTTCCTACAATCACCCTCATCATCTTTTTTCTAGTTTCATCTCTTTATCCTCTTATCTCTTATTTTCTGTGTTTTTTATGGCTTCCTCTGTATCTCTCTTTTCATCTAGTCACAATGTGCGTATGATCAAAATCTTTTGTTTTTTTTAAGTTAATCACTACAAGCTATATGAAATGACATTAAATTATATCGCTTAATAGAGTTCAGAGGGCAAATACAGCAGGACTTTCTTTTATTTGTCATAAAGGCTCAAAGTTATCACTGAATTAATCCAAAAAACTTCAACGTTTCTATTGATTTCTGCTCAATGAAAAAAAGATCTGAAGAGAGCACTTTGGGTGTTCTAATTTTTAATATATATCCAGATGAATTGGTCATCAAGACTGAAGCTAATGACTAGCATATAAGGGGCTAAGACAAGTTTGAGCTACAATATGTTTACAACATCTCCAGTTGGAGAAAGCCCATAGTTGATTATGCAAAAACGCATCAGAAAAAAATCTTTAAGTGATGATAGTCTAACCGCCAGTAAGACTGAAGTTGTTTTTAAGTTGTTTTTTAAAAAATTTCGAACTAAAATGTTAAGGTGATGGGATGATGTTCAATAGTATTTTTGTAAGCACAAGAGTCTAGTCTGTTGTTCTTTAATTTTGATGCATCTATCTGACAGATGCTATACCAATAAAAGATTAAAAAATCTGTAATGCTTTGTAAAAAAATTAAGATGAATTATTTTAAGCATTAAGGGGCAGTTTTGTGTGGCCAGAGATGAAAGTTTAAAGTTGCAGAAATGCAGAAAATCTAGAGTGCTTTGAAATCCCATTGCAAGATTGATGATTTATTGGAAATGTTTCAATATTACATACATCAAAAGATATTCTTATAAAATTTTTAAGGTAGGCTCTTTCCCATTTTATTCCCTTTCTTACATCAGGATGAAATAAAAGTGAAGAAAAAAGCCATTTATCCTGCTGTTAGGGTGCAAGAGTGTTTCAATTAATAATGAAGGTTAGAGTTTGTCCTTCCCTCTGGATACCAAACTGGGGAAGCTCAGGCCACACACACACACACAGTTATTTAAAGAAATCGCATCATCCCTGGGTAAGATGGGATAGAGGCTAACGTCACGCCTGGCTGATTTACCTACTCACCATTAACCCAGAGATACACTGTTAAAAAAAAAAAAAAAAAAGGTAGGGAGGGGGGTCACTGGATAATCTTATCAATGTGAGCCCAAGTAAATCAAAAATAAATCTGTCTTTTATGAAGAAATGCCAAAATCTGGAGGGGAAAAAAGCAGTAGGGGTGGCTTTCTATGTGTTATTTCACAAAACTACGGTAACCTTATGCTAAATCACTTTCTGCCTCTTCCTCTCTGTGGTTCTTTGCATGGTGGCAGCCATTATTGAAAGTGACAGTGGAAATTTGGTCCAATTTGTAGTAGATCTGCCTTTAATGACACACAGCGGCTGCTGAAATAAAGAGCCTCGGGTATGGAAACGAAGGGCTGCAAAAGCTGCATCTGTTTAGCTCCTGATATCTGATGTGGTCTGTGTGTCGCTATTTGTTTTCTGGTTCTTCTGTCTTTGCTCCTGTTCTGCCTGCTTGTAAATGCGTGTGGGTTGGATTACAACTGCCATCTTGTCCTCCCTTATGACTATGAGCTGTGTCTCTTTTTACACGGGCAACAACTTCTGCAGAGGCATGGAAATCACACACAGATGTAGAGTGTGGCAAATGGAAATCTATCATGCCTTGTACATGTCAGTTGGCTCAGGGAGGGGGCAAAGAAATTTGCATATCCTATCATCCCCCCCCATCCTCCCTCTGCTGTCCCCTTCCTCTCCGTCCTGTTCCGTAATCAATTTACGTCGACACAGCAAAAACCCCATACCTGCCAAATGATACAAAAAAGTTAAAAGTAATCAGTATCTTAAGTCCACTGTTTCCTTGAGTCTACCTCAAGGAAACAGTGGAAATTCACATCCTTCCCAATGCAGCAGGGATGTCCATCACAATTAGAGGGCCTTACAAAGGTTTTTCAGTTTTTCTTACATTTTGTTTAAATTTTTTTCATGTTGGAACCAAAAACAGACATTTAATATCTTGGGGAATAGAATAGAATAGAATAGAATAGAATAGAATAGAATAGAATAGAATAGAATAGAATAGAATAGAATAGATCCTCCGCTTAGGTAGGGGTATCTGTCATTGTGTACTACTCAAATCTGGCCTGTGTGGAAACCTGAAAAGAACATGTTTAAAGGAAGCCAAAATAAGTCCAGCAGAGGACACAGCAAATGTGGAAGAATAAGCTCTGATCAGATGAGAGCAAATGTGATCCTGCCTGCATAAAATAAAAAATAAAAAACTAGGACTGTTTAAAACTAGCACCCTGAACAAACAGTCTCATTGTTAAATCTGGCTAAAGGTGGCATCACGGTATCGCTCTGTTATTTGGAAAACGCCAAATTTACAGTCGAGAGTTATTTTGATTTAAGAAGTATGAAACTTTTTACAAAGCGTTTGACCCGGTGGGAGGTGGTGATTTACAAAGGAACAAAGGAATTCTCCAGGTAGGCAAAATATGCTTGCCCATATTAAACACACTAAAGGATCATCTACACTTAATCTATTTTATGTTCCACTTGCTCTATTTAATGTTTTAGATTTTGTCTGCATGTTCAGACTGGAGAAAAATAATATCCCTGCCTGAAGTGGTGGGACAGGACAAAGAGCTGTAGGAAGCAGTTGTTAGAGGGACCCTCATGCCCTCACCTGTCCTCCCTCTTCTCACTTACCTCATTATCAAAACACACTTTAAACTGTATCAATTCCAGCAGCTTGTTTGGTGGCTTCCTGCTCGCCGCGTTTCTTTCTTTTCTCTCTTTGACATGGCAGCCAGCTGGAGTTTTTAGGCCCCCTAACCCCCACTATCAAAAATTCATAGAACCAGACAAGCCGATGTGTAAAGCCGTAAGAAGAGGTAGCGCCAACTTTCCCGTCACTCCCTCTTTTTTATTTCTCTTATTCTCTGTCTCCTTTCATCATTGCTCTTTGTGTCGCCTGCTCATCCTCCTTTACCACATCTTTCTTTCACCTCACATTTCTCCTCCTTTTCCACTCTCCTTTCATCTCTCCATCACCCTCTCTGTCAATGTGGCAATTTTCCCCCGTTTCGGCAGGCATGCAACTGCTGTCCCCTCTCGCTCCCTCTCTTGTCGCTGTTTGACACTGTCAACAAGCAGGTGGAGGTGGCTGTTATTGTTGATGCCTCTGCAAAGGTTCTAGGTAATGAATAAAAGAGAGATAGAGGGAGAGGGGGCGAGAGAGATGAGAGTGGCAGAGATAGGAACGAAGTAAAAGAGGTGTGTGCGAAGCAGAGGGGGAGGTTGGCAGATTCAGCTGCATTACACGGCAGCCTGGTTGTGTCAGCCCTTGTTGGCTTTCTTTGTTGCTGAAGGGGAGGCCAGCGCAAACATGTAAAAAAGCAGGTGCACATGCACAGTTGTAAATGCAGAACTGAAATACCTTTCACATATATTGTTAGTAAAAGTTTGTAACATGATATTTTTTGGTCATGATTTATTGCTCACAGTGTCTGGGCTATTTACCAGATCGTGATATTAAACTTTTCTCTTTATGTTAATATGCTAATATTCAGGATCATTGTACTGAATTTAAATCAGTCCCACAAAAAACCAACGTTAGATTAGAGCCCTTACCTCTGTTCCTTTCAAAGCAACACAACTATATGAACAATACAATTCAATTCAGTTTATTTATATAGCACCAATTCACAACACATATCATCTCAAGATGCTTTACAGACACAATTCAACCAGATCATACATTTAAATTGATTCAAAGTTTTTTATCTAAGGAAAACCAGTAGATTGCATCGACTCACTGACTCGAAGGCGATCCCTCACACCAAGCATGCTTGTAGCGACAGTGGAGAGGAAATACTCCCTTATAACAGGACAGGTTTTTTTTGCATAAATGAGGTCATATTCTCACAGACTAATGTGCACGTGTTACGTGACTAATTTCTTTTTGCCTAATTTTTATGACAGTGCCACATACAGATCAGCCATTGTAACTATCCACAGTTCACAGCAAATGACAACAAATAGAAGGAATCAAAGTTTTTTGAGCGAGCACAAACACAATCTAAGATAAAGGCAAAATAAAACGTCTCTTCTATTCCCTGATCCGTCCTTATGTCTTTCCATACTTTTGGCAAGTTGTAGAGCTAAAAGTTTTTCAAACTGAGATAAAACATTTTTGAGGGACATAGTGTAAAATCAAGGGCTGGTGAAGTGTAGAAGCAATTTTACAAAACTTTTCTTTTTCATTTAATAATATTGGTACAGCAAACATTTCCTAAGTTTAAACTAAAGCTATTATTAGGGAATTTATATAACCTTTCTTTCCGTTCTGTAGTTTGTATCATCCTTTTAGAAGAATTTACTAAATATAATCTCAACCCTTATCATATGTGACCTAAAGTATGCTTTTACATGAGCTCTATTTTCCCAAGAACCATATTAGGTGGATAAAGAGAAGCATTCAGAACCAAACATTAACATCTGCCCTAATCTTAGCCTGAGCTGAATTTGTTATTAAGACGAAGGGGACATACAGTACAACCTAACACCAGCTGCACCAGTTCTGTTTGGAGGAACAGGACAACACTCCAAGAAACTGTTGTGAGAGGAAAACCGAATCAATTAATCCAGTGCTTAGGGGTTAGAAAAGCTGATCATAAAATTTGGTAAAAATTAAAAAACCAGAAGATGTTTTTCTAATTTAATGACAAGGATTGAGAAAATATGCTATATATGTTTTTTTAAAGACGTGTAAACAAATGATTAAAAGCAAATAATGTATGTTTTACCAACTGTTCTACACCAGCTCTTCCCTCAGAGAAGTTACATATAAATAAAACGTGTTATTTCTATAATTTAGCCATTCAGCCGTTGAATAATAAAATCCCTTGTCTACCAAGGCGTGCTGTCAGATTAGAGGTTGCGCTCAATTCAGTTTTGGGCACTGTTCCTTCCTCGATCTGCCACTGACTGTTAGTCTGTGTGTGTATGAGTGAGTGGCTGCGCCTGTGCGAGCGTGTCCGAGGGTCTGGACTGCTAACAGGGTCTCAAAGCAAACATGACAACCCTGCCTCGCTGTGTCAATGTCAAGCCTGTTGCAACGCTTCATGAGGCTCGGAGAAATCTATCTCTGTGTTTGAGTGAAAGAAAGCAAAGGAAAGAAAAGGGCGCCGAATAAAAGAGAGGAAGATAGAAGGAAGGAAGAGTAGATCGATTGAGAATGAGTGTATCAGAAAAAGCCATCAGAATGGAAAAAAACAATGCAAAATGTCACATGTCTAGTTTGATAGCAGAATAAAACACAAAGCTGTCTATTTTATACATTTTGACTTTCCATTCTTAACATCCAATCTAAGCTGTCTCACTTGTTTCCAGCTAGAGCGAGCCAAATGATGGCCTTAAGCTCAGACTTCCAGTGATCGCCCTTCAACAACACCCACACATTCTGCTGCTCTGTTTGCATATTGTGAGCATAAAGAGATGAATGAGTAGCTTTTAAGTGATAGTTGCTGTTACTACTCTAAGAAAGGAAAGCAAGCAATAAATAAAAAAGGCTTAAGGCAAAAAAGAAACCTGTAAATATGTAAATGCATTAATAAGAATCCCCTCAATTTCTTGCTGATGTGGTTAAAATGTACATATACTGCTTGTTTTATCCAGGAAAACAGCTAAACATGTATGCAATGTGTGCACAGACTCTGCTCACCTCAGTGTACTGAATCCTCACTTATTTCCCTCTTGTCCTTTTTTTCTGACTGCAGTAAGAACCCCTCATCCAAGGATGGTGTTGCCACTCCAGGAACTCCCAAGGTAAGGATACACTCATTTTTCAGAACAGTATCTGCCTTATACATGCATGTAATTTACATGTTTACATATAATATCGTTGGTATGACTCATCACTGTCAAGTTTTCATATGCATGTGTTTCCCCAGAAGAAATCCATATACATATTTTCTTATACTCCCTTCAACTATCCATGTCCAATGGTTCAATAGGCAGCTGGTCCGAATGGAATTGTACTTTTCTTTTTCCAATAAAGGATGGACTCGAATCAAAAGAGGAATAGGATTAAGAACTTTTTCCTGAGCTAACCAGTCCTAGACTGGGAAAATCACAGACTTTTGTGTATTTCAACAAAAATAGTGTAATAGACAATCATAATGAATAATTTTTTTCCGGATGGAAAATTAAAAACTTTTTTTTTTTTTTTTTTTTTACTGATAGAAATCCTAAAGGTTGCATTTTCATCCTGTCCTGTTTTACTCTGAGAACTCTAAAAAAACAACTATGAACTGCTTCTCTGTGTCATTGAATCTGAGTGTAAACGCAGCTTTTCCATGAGGTCTTAGAGATAGATATTTACAGAACAGATTGGTGAAATGTACGCAACACCGTAGGCCCTAGAAAAACCTCTTATCAGATGAGACGAAAAGATATCACCATGACAGCACCCCAGCATCCCATACAGTAAATCCTAGTGGTGGCCACATCATACATTTTTTAGCAGCGACAGGTAGGAAGAATTTAGCTAAATGTTTGGTAATCCTGATAAAAATAACCTAAATTGACTTGAAATAAATTCCTAAATCCAATCGGGTAACAATAAATATATAGCCAGAGCTGAGATTGAAAGGTTTAGATCAAAGAATCTTAGTGAGATAGAGCTATTTTGTAAAGTAAATGTCTGGAAGTTCAAAGCTGGAAGAGGTATACTTCTGTCATGCCCCCAAGGAAATAGTTGCTCTTAAAGTATTGATTAGGGATTATTTGCAAAATCCGCACTACAGTTTTTAATTTCTTATCATTTTTTTTCTCTGTTACCATAAGGACATAAATTACTGGTTGAAATATTCAAAAGAAATTAACGCCTTTGCAAAGTGTAATAGAAAAGTTCTATTCAAGCTAAACAGATTTTAGAGAGTTTTTTAGCATATTTTTGACTTAATTATTTTCTATTATTTTATAAAGAAATAATTTGAATGGTGACATCCTGAAAGGCCAAACCTAAGCAATCATCTCCATATGTGTTGTCTTCCTCTAATCGCAGCACAGGTGAAAGTCGAACACTGTGTTGCAAAGAACCTTTGACTTGCATATGAATCCACCAGGGATCCTGAATAAATCAGTGGTGTTTTAGCCCCAACACTTGGGTAGAAGGTGCTGACCTGGGCTTAAAGAAGAGCTCACTGCGGTGCGGATGGGCTTGTACTTGAATAAGACAGGCGGAGGAGGGTTGAGGGGTGAGCGCTGGCCCTCCTCTGCAGCCGTGACTGTGCATCTTGCTGCTAATGTTTAGTATTCTGCAGCAGGCCATAGAGAATGAAGAGGGGCAGTCTGAAGCATATGGGCTTGTTGTTGTTCTCCCCTGGCTGCTATGCACCACCCACCCATTTTATACCCAGGATTAACCCTAAAACATCTCCTTATGTCTCTTTGAGTTGTACTTGCAAGGTAGTTTCATAATTACTTGCAATGTAATTTCTGTGAGCCATATGAGCCTATGAGCCACATGGTCAGATATATCAGCCATGGATATTGTAACTTACTTCTTAAATGCTTCTGGTTTTGCACTGATCTTTTTCCATGTTGATTTAATTAGTGCTTCTTAAAGACCACATTTGGAGATAGACCTCCATCTACAACCTCTTTGTAAATTACCATTAAATGTCATATTCTAATGATAAAACTTAAATATATTCCATGACTGCCCCCAGGTAAAAGATTCCTGACCTTTTTAAACCTGTAAAAAAGGAGAAAGAGCAGACACACATACATGCACACACACACATTCATGCAGGCAGAAAAGCACCATGCATAATGTCCAATTTACTGTGGCAGCACTGGAGGTTGGTCATTTCTCACATATTATTATTAGATTACTGCTGTCGAGCACTTAAGCCTCTGCTCTGCCCCTTTCCACTTGATTAATAGGAGACGACTGTAAATACAAATATTTCACAGCTGCCTTGTAAAAAAACGAAAGCAGCCGAATAGGCACAAATGAAAATACAAGTATGGAGAGAGAGTAAGATCTGAGTGTTGTTAAAGAGAGACATTACAGTACGTTTCTCTTTCTCTCCTGTTCTCTCATATCTGATCATCATATCACTACCTTCTTCTTACAAATCTTGCTCCTTAGTCACTTGTAAGAGTCCCCTGAATGTCTTTGACATGGAGAGAGGGTCAGAAGAGGAAATTCTTTTATACGTTTGCAGGAGCGGCAGCACATACTATTGCAGGACAGATTTATGGACAGGCAGTGTTCTGTAATGTCAGATGTTTACCCTCTCTCCTGCCAACGCTCTCCTGCACTTCCTTCTGTTCTCCCTAAGGGCTTCCTCACTTTCCAATTGCTCTTTCTTCCCTAACTCCTCTTAACGTCCCATAAACATTAAGTCTAATCAGAGGAAGGGATTTTATAGACAAAGTCAGGCAGGTTACAGTCATCATCGGTGACGTGTTGCCCTTAGCAGCTGAGGCAATAACACTGCCGGAGTTCTCCAAGGGTAATGATTCTACGTCTTTTTTATGTTATAGAGCTTTGTAATACATAAATAAACTTTAATCCTGTGTAATGCGCGAACAAACTTCTTTCTAAGATTCAGCTGCAGTTTTTTACAGTAAATTGTAACAATTATTGCTGCTTGGATTTGCATTATACAAATGTTTGGGGTTAAATTCTAACACATTATGTGATCCTTTTAATTGTCTCCCCTCAAACTTTATCTAAGGAAGATCCCCTGCTTCTGTGCTATTTTGCTACAATAGTAGCTGCGGTTTATTATTCTATAAACACGTTGAAATCTGTTTGCTTAGATATAATTTCTTCAGTAGATCTATGTACTTCTTTGGTTCTTGTTCTCCTTTATACAGCTCTCAGTCTGCAACATGTTCCATTTTAAACATTTCTACATTGCATACAATTTCACTTATTTTGTGCTGCATTTCTGTCTCTGCAGTCTATGCTTTTGTCTGTGCACATCAAGAGAGAGGGGGAATCTCCGGTGGTGTCACCCCTGTCATCTGAGGATGCCCACCACTCCGACAGATATCAGGTCACACAAACACGGACACACACACAAGCTTCCAGGCAATCATTTATAACAACATTAGTTATACTCGGAAGTTATACTCTTTTTTTTAACCAGAAGGTTCTCACTTTAATGTGAAATATTAGAAATATATGTATATAAGTAATTTCATGTCATTTGGTCTGTGAGTTCAAGTATGTTTCATTCTTTTTCAACTTTATCAGTAAACTGTTTCTCCTTTATGGGCATTTATTTAAGGGGCCTCTTAATCTAAACAGATGTTCAAAGTAAGGCGCAGTTAGGCTGTGACAACAGTGTACTGAAAAGTATTTAGTCATAAAGTGCAGTAAAGGAATAATGGCGCACATATCAATTAAGCCGAATAAAAATGTAAGTTTAGGTTTCTCGTGCCTTCTCAGCAGTTAAGTTAAATAACAGATCAATCTTGTTTAATCTCAGATTTCACCCTGACTTTTATCACTTCTATTCATCAAAGTTTGTTCAGGATATTCTTCTGCCGATGATGTATCTCTAGGTTAAGTGGGTTTCCACCTTAACACCATAAAGAAGGAACTATTAAGTCCATGTGGACATTACATCCATACATTTGGGATGACTTAGCTCATAAAGACCTTAAAGCAATAAAGGAGATTTTCTCATTTGGTGAAACTGCTGAAATCACCTTATATTATACAAATGATTAAGTCGATGGTGACTTATTTTAACACCTTGAAATGAAGCATAATGGAAGACTTCACCACCTCCTCTTTTTTAGTCAGGTCTGAGTGCTCTATGCTTTCTCGTGTCTCCTGGAAATCTGACCTATCCTCAGCCGTTCAGTGAGTGTATCATAATGATAAGGTTGTGGTGGTGATGCACAGCCAGTGAGCCGATAACTCTAAGAATGAAGATGGGGAGAAAAAAAATCAGAGAGGGGAAGGTGAAGGCCTGGTTGCTCAATGGTCTCCACTAATAGCAGATGGGCTGACAATAAGTGCGCTGTTGCAGTACCAAAGAGAGTGTATCTATAACTGCAAGAGGAAATACTTTAGTCAGCATAGTTACCACATACAGTGCTTTACTTTGAGTCCCGGTAGATCTTAGGGATACATTCTGTAAAAGACAGAGGTGGATAGGCCAAATGAGTCTGACCTCAATTAATTGGATAATACTGTACATTTATTGCTGAAGCCATTATTTTTAATGATGCAGGTAATTCACCTGAGGCAACCTGAAGTAGCTCAGACCTCAGATATGCCCACAACACCCCCACAAATGATTAATAATTTATCTTGTAACTGCTAGTGACAAATAGCACATTGACTCAAGTACAGTCTTAGAAGTTCTACAGATTCTACTGTGTCTCCTCTGCAGAGGACAACCCTGCCCTTGAGTAATTTACATAGTGTGTATATAAATATATATATATACATTTTTTTTCTGCATTTGCTTCATTTTGTAAAATGAAAATGCTGAATATATATTTTTTTTCAGTTGGAAAAGGTGTTCACAAAATAGCTTAATCATTGCTCTCTAGTACTGTATTTGCACTGCATGAATACGGGCAGCAATATGAATCCAACTTAGGAATGCTTCATAATTTTTTAAACTGTTGTCTTGTTAAAGTATTTCATATTTTAGTTATTGTTTAATGTAAATAACTAGCAGAGGTTTGATTTGATCAGAAGAGTTAATCTTTCAAATCATGCAAGATTTAAACAATATGTGAAATTAGATCATTTTCATTTCTATATTTTCTACAGTTTATTAAAATATTGAGTTAAAATTAAATTATAATCAGTGATTAAAGTACTTAGCAGTTAAATTGTTTATGGTGCAAAATTAATGAAAGAATAAATTAAATGACAACATATGCATAATTGAAATAACTGTCAGGGATGTATTAGACTTTCTACCTACGGTCTCTTCACCATGGTTTGAGTGACCTGAAAATTGCGGCAATCTGACTTTCTAGTGCAAACAGGGTACCATATTTCTTAATAACAACCATAAAGTTGTTTATAAATGTAAAGAAGTAGGTAAATGATACACTAAATTTGTTAATTCCTTTTTGTCATTTAGAGTGACCTCTGTGAAGGTCTCATAAAAAATCTTTATGGAGATCAGGACACAGATCGTGAGTCTCAGAGAATGTAGATGATGGATTATACAATCACAGAGCACTGTTAACAAACACACAGGAATATGACTATTCACCTAAAATATCAGGTCCTTGGTAACTCTAGAGGTGCTGCCGAGATACATAGTTGAAGTGTCTATAGATAGGACAAATATTAGTCATTCTTACACAAAAATAATCTGGCACTTTACCTTTAATGTTCTGTTTACCTTATGCAGAAATAATAATGTGTAAATCAGGCAGTTATAAAGTGAAAAAGTTAAACTTAGATGTATTTGAACAAACAAATAGTAACATATAAAATATAAGAGAAAAAAATATAGCTACAGTAACTAAGATTAACTTTTTAACCTGTTGTATGGCTCTAAGCCGTTTTAGATCATTAAAAAGATGTTAAAAATTAAGATTTTGAAAATTGGGGAGGGGGTTTCAGAAGTATAATACGACCTATTTATTTAATGACAGTTTCATATGTGTAGTACGGTATGATATTGTATCTCTTGAAGCGTTAGTATGAAACCCGCTGCTTCCCCCTAGTGTCCAAAAGACGAACTGACAACTAAGATCTGCCTGCTTCCGTTTCCCGGACGGTCACGTGATCACAACAAGCCAACATGGCGTCAGACATGAGAGCTATTAGCCGAGCCGGGCGCCACTTTCAATCCTTTTCCATCCATTTGAATTTATAGTCCTAGTGTTCAGTTTGCTGTGATGTAGAGCATCTGGTAGACCTGAGCTCTGTGCTGCAGCGAGTTTAAGGCAGGCCGCCGACAGGGAGGCAAGAGAGACATGGAGGAGTTGGAAAACAAGAGAGAAGTAGGTGGAACTGTTTACGTTAGCGCCCCCGAAAGTATCCAAAGCAATCCCAATCAGAACAGCGAGATTTGCACTTGAAAACACTGCATTTTGTCTAATTACCATCTCATTAATATATCTTCTCTCTCCTTTTTTTCTTTTCTTACAGACATTTTTACGAGTTCGGGCAAACAGGCAAACGAGATTGAATGGTATGTACACACATCAGTTAATGCCCTGTTTAATTTGATAATCATATACTTCAGCTCTCCATCACTTTGTATGTAATACAATGATTGTGAAATCAATCCTGATTGTGCTTATAAAATGTCAATAGCAAAGATGTAACCTAAATAGATATTGCTGAATGGAAATTACAATTAACTTACCTTTTTAACTGATTTACAAAATGTTAAAGAACAAATTAATGAAAAAAAACTGAATAAATGGACTGAGTTGTGACTGAGATAACAAATGAGCACTTTGAGTTTTACTGTCATATTTAGTGTTGTTTATGTTTTGATGTCATAACAGGTTGTGGATGATTTCCTTTTTTCATTGCTTAATCTGTTCTACCAGTTACATAATGTATACAATTTTTTTTAATCTGAAAACAAGCTTTTTTTAACAAAAAAAAAGCACTTTACACTTTAGCAGTTGCAAATAAAATGAAAAAGTGATTTAAGTGTGTGGTTTCAGTAAGTGGGGTTCTTGAAAAATGCCCTAAGAAATCTCCATACTGCTTAAAATGTGAACATTTTGTCAAGTTAAATCCACTATCCTGAGTTTGTTTACTCATTATGTGAGCTAAACCAACACAAAGTGTCTAATAATTAAGGAAAACTGACATGTCTTCTAAAGCTTTTAACAAATAAAAATCTGAAAAGTGTGGCCTGCTTTTGTATTTTCTCTCCTTCAGTCTGATACCCCAAAATAAACATCAGTACAATGTTGGATGTTAATTAAGTAGTTAACACAGTTCATCTTCGCTTAATTTCATTAGTCCTGTTCCAAAATATAGTCACAGATACAGATTGAGAAATTTAAGGCAAAGTTAGCTTATGAAATCTGTGTTAAGTCCATTATCTGAAAATGGAAGAAGTGTGGGCCAAGTGCAAAGGTACCTGTCCAAATACTGACAGGATGGCGGTAAGGAGAACACGAATCACAAAAGTTTTACCTCTGGAGAAGCTTCCAAGGTTCACGAAGATGGTAGTCTGTTGATCTAGCTTTTTGTTTAGCACAAATAAATCATTAAAAGACAGTCATGAAGAGTCTCATCTGCAATTTAGGGGAATTGGCAAAAACAAAGGGAAAAGGGGTGCTTTGAAAAGGTGAGACCAAAACTGAATTCTTGCATAATGTGTGATAAAGAGAGGAATTGGGCTTTCAACAGAACATCAACGCTAAATATACAGCAGGAGCTGCAGTGGAATTCTGTAGATTACAAATTACTGGTCAAAGTCTGGACCTAAATCCAGTTTATATTTGATTGTCATGTTCTCCATCCAGTCTGTGACTGAGGTTGACAAAAAAAGAAAAATAATTAAAATGTTAAATGCTGGTAAGACTGTAAACAGTTGTTTATCGCAGGGCTGCCTAGCATCAATGCTAACCACACTTCAGATTTCTTTGGGGATGAACTGAAAGATATTCCTTAGGTTAAATATTATGTTATCTGCTGCATTGTGTTGGTTTATCGCAGGAAATCCCAATAAAAGACTTAAATGTTTTTGGCTTTATCTTTTAATGTCAAACAAAAAGTTGTTTTGCAAAGGCACAGTTTTGATTAGCATCATGTGTCCGCATAGGGTGTTTAAATTTTTGCCGTTCATAATTAGCAGCCTTTTACCCTCTTTAAACGGGGATGCTCTCGATTAGTGTCAGAGAGAGAAATGGCGTGAAAGCCCCTTCTTCCATCGTTCCCTCCATATTCTTGCCCCGCAGTTATGGCATGCTGCCTTATGTCCTCCTCTTCTTCTCCTCCCTCTCTGTTTCCACTCTCTCTTGGCCTCTTCTGCTTTCCCAGCCAGCTAAAAATTAATGTCCCCGTGCGCCATTTGCAGTTAAGAAAAAACGACAGAGACTCAGGGTTCAATGACGGCTGTTCGGCCCTGTTAAATTTCTAATTAAATGTGTGGGTGGATGGGCGAGGGGGGGCTAAGGGTATGCCATGACAGGAGGGAGGCGAGGGGAAGAAGGGAGAAACAAAAGGAACAGAGCAAAGGCACTGATGTAGAGAAAAATGAAGGGGTTGAGACTGTCACGTCAGACTGTGTCACGCAGAACATCTTCCTGAAGGTGGCATGTTGAGATTTAGGCCTTTTCCAAAGAGAAATATCTTTATTTATATGTGTTTTTTTTCTCTGTTGTCGTCCTTCTCCAGCTCGTATAGGCAAGATGAAGAGGAGGAAGCCTGAGGAGGGTGGGCAGGTATGTCCGCTGTGCAGCGCCCCATTGGCTGGGAGCGAGGAGGAGATGAGTAGACATGTGGAACAATGCCTGATCCAGGTAGTACAATCCCGGCCCTAGAACCCCGCCTACCGCCACCTGGACGGCCTGTGTCTTCCCTTCTTTTCCCACTCACCTCTCTACTTCCTGTAGATTCTCAACAGTCCCATTCATCCTCAACTGTAAAAACAAACCAAAAGAGTCACTGGATCGTCATATTGGATTAACTGCGAATTATTTGAACATAAAGCTAAATAAATACTGGAATATTCACGCTGTTTTCATTCAGAATGGTGTGCTTTTAAACCAGCCAGCTCTCATCTACAGTTATCCCATGTGACCCTTGGTATGTCAAACAGGAATCTAGAAGTAGCTCCCACAATGGGTTTCTCCTCACCTGTCCCTGCTATACATCACAGCTGTCATCTCTTTTTAGAGTAGATCTGGGATAAATCATTGCTTCTGATGAACTCCTTCTCTATCTCATGTCACCAATCGCTAGCTGTCAAACTACACAGATGTACTAATCTCTCTTCTTCTCCGGCATGACTTAGATCCATTAGCGACTTTACTTTTGCAAGTGTTCTAAGCTGATGTTTTTTCTATGTTGTGTAACAGTAAAGGGAGGCTAGCGTACACTGCCTTGCAAAAGTTTTTGTTTCGATTAGAGGTGCTGATCTCTCTAATATATATTAACGGATGGAATTCAACATGAAATATAAGCTTCTTTGTCATATTGTTGCCCCTCAGTCATTAAAAAGTGTCTAAAATCCAGTCGGATTTACACACAAATTGACTCTTATTTTCTAGAGATGCACTGATCCAGTTTTTCCGTTCCAATCGGATACGATACCTGGGCAGAGAGCATTGGCCAATATCTGATACTGATCTGATTCAACTGTTAAATGGATTTACCATATATCTTTTCATGTGGGAAGGCTTTAGTCTTGACATAAACATTTTTTTAAAAGATAAGAAAATGTACACAAAAGTAAATTTACTTATGTATTATTTATTAAAAACTAAGCAGCAAAAGAAAAAAGATCAGTTCCACATAGGGATTAGGGGTGTAAATAACACCCATTATGGTGATTCGATTCAGTATCGATTTTCTGACCCAACGATTCGTTTATTTTCGATACTCTTTTCACCTTACAGGCTAGACAATGTTTCAAATTTGAAATTTATCACTGAAAGCTGTAATATTGTTATGCATTTTATTTGAGAAAAAAACTGCAAAAAACAGAAGTAGAAAAGTTGTACTCCATAATGCCCCTGCGTTATAGATTCTGAAAGGCTTTGCATCAAAAAATACTGCACAAAATCAGTGCAATGCAATACCTCTGCTCCAGAGTGTCAACGTCCCCGCCCCCTCCTCAGACACTCCGCTGCACCTCTCCCAAATTGTAGCTGACTGCAGACAGGAGGTCGGCTTGTTTTGTTTTTCTGGCCGAAATTGCGGAAAACAACTCATGAAGTTTGACCCACTAGAAGAGCGATGTGCGCGAGAACGCTGAGACCCTTTTTCTACCTGGATCTCCGCTCTTATTGGCCCTCATGTCACTCCATTGTCAGACTAAACTCGCCCCCAATGCCTCCCCGCCTCGGCCGTATCTAGACCCACAGCGTGTAGAACAGACCACGTTTCAACATTGGGCATAAATAAAAACTGTCTGTGTCAAGCTCACTGTGACACACTGCTGCAGGAGTATAACCAGGAGGCGAGGTAGGAGGGCAAAATAGGTTTAGCGACACCTCAGCACGGGAGGGAGAATTACGCCCAGGAGCAAATGGATAAAAATAGACCGGCAGACAAAAAAAAAAACATGAATCGATACTCTTTGGACGTGTCGATGCATCGGATCGTCGGCTGTTGGATCGATGCATCGATACAAAACGATTATTATTTACACCCCTAGTAGGGATGAACAATTAATTTGATTAATTGTGATTAATTGGTTATTTAAATAATCGTCAATGAATTAAGTAATTAATTAATCGTTAACTGGTTATAGAGTCTCTAAAATGTGCCTTTAGCTGACAGAGTGACCCACTTAGAGCTGTAATTATACCAAAATTGCAAAAAGAAAAAAATATTTCAAATATGTCCATCAATACGATCTACCCAGAGCTCCTGAAGTGGAAATTTTTTGTTTCACCTGGTTTAATTCTGCAAAAAAAGTGTTCTTTAAGCTATCCTTTTGCTATCCGATTATTAATCAAAAAAAGAATCGACACATTAATGGATTAGCAAATTGATCGTTAGTTGCAGCCCTAGTCCCATGTAGAGTGCTCTGGATTGGCTCGCCTATATCCGATATCTAATCACTGATATCGGATTGGAGCAGATATCCGATCCAGGTATCAGATCGGTGCATCTCTATTACTCACTAACAAAGTGACTTTTAAAGGGAGTTTATTATTCAGAATTTTTATCAGATTAAAGAGTGAATACAAACATTCATATATTTATATAGCGGGAATCAAAAACATACACAACCGTCCTTCCATTTCACAGTGATTCAGTGATGAACAGTTATTCAATTGAATAAAACTTGTGTTTTTAATCTGTCACAAGGTGAAGGCCTTAAAAGGGTATGAATACTTTTGCAAAGCATTGTATATTAAATCCTTTAATGATGATTCTCCTGAAATACTGTATTTTACTTGAATGGAATATATTAAAGTGGTATAATTTTGATGTCTGTATATAGATGTCTGTTAAATTTTTGCATTTTGCAGCAGATCAATGTCTACATGTACACTTAAAGGCTGGGTTAATATTTAGTGTAACTGTATAGAGTTAGAGCTTAAGATGAGAAAAAATAGGCCAGCTTTAAATCTTGTACTTGAGTAGAGTAGAAGTGGTGAAGCCTCATTGCGGTAAAGAAAAAGTAAAGCATGTATGGGTTTCAGAGTCATGGTTCGCATTTATGGTGAAGGAATGTAGAGTTAGGCAGTTATCTTCTGCTAAATCTGTTTGGAGAAAAAAAAATCCTTTCTTGTTTGTGTGTTTTGCTTACCAGCGTGAGGGAGCTTTGGCCGATGAAGACTCTGCAGACATGGATGGAGAAAACGGGCGGGGCTTCGATGAGTATGAATGGGCGGGGCAAAAGAGGATCCGAGCCACAGCTTTACTGGAGGGAGGCTTCAGAGGTAAAAAAAAAAAAATCTTTTCTCCCATCTTTATCATCATCTCATCTAATTGTTGGTAGTGTTCCCCACTGATGGAACAAGGTTGTGTGTTTTGGGGGGGTATCTGATGGTATAGGTGTCTGATGTTGTACTTTGGGATGACTGACTGACCTCAGACGTCACAGTCAGTCCCAGCAGTTTGTTCTCTCCTCCTCCCTCTTCTGTCGCCTCCTCCTCTGTTTCCCTGCTCATCCATCATTCACCGCGCTGCTGTCCAATGTGAGCCCCGTTAGCTCTCTGAGTCCGGTGTCGAATATGACCAGCGAGCGGTAATGGTACTTGTGGTTTAGCTGCAGCGCAGGCTGGCCTGGGGTCAGCCCGACTCGGCTTTGGCTGAACCCCACACAACCCTCCGTGCGAAAGGAAGGAAAACACATTTAGCTGGGCAATTGACCTGCTGGTCAGCGCTTCGTGTGTGTGCCCAGAAATGCAATTATGGAGCCGGATAGGAGAGCTGGTCATTGGGGAGCACAGCAGCAGCGGCTCAGGGACACAGCATAACCTATGTTGAAGCACTTTGCTCACTATGGGCCTCCGTTAATGTTAAGTTTCTGGAAATTACATAAATTCTTTGTTTTCTTTCCACTTTTGCCTTCAAAAAGTTATATCTGTTTTTATTTGGCAGACAGTTATTATAAACCTTCTTAAATGTTATTTAGTTGCTTTAAAACAAATCTAATTATCAATATAAGTTAATTTCACAATACTATGGCATAATACCGGATAGCCTCTGCCTAGCTAATTTGTTTTTTTTTTAATGTACATTATCTTTATTTTGCTGTATGCAAAGTGTTTTAGGATTTATTTTCCTTAAATCTTTCAAGAAAAAAAAAGGAAATTAGATTTCTAAACCAGAGATTCATTTGTTTTGAAAAGAGGTGTGTTGCAGTACTATTAGAAGTCCAGCATAAGCTGCAAAAACAATAAATAAATCGACCTGGAATTTATTATTATACATGCATTAAATAGGTCTTTCCAAAATTGGTCTTCAAAGAACTTAGCTCTGTAAACTGGATCATTAAACTTCCTTTGGCGTGATGTATACCCAATGGTCAACATTTCCACTTAATGGTCACTGTTTAAACTTATTGTAATCATTTAAGTGTGAAATAGAGGGATTGGAGTGAAGTCGGATGATGTGGACAGACGGAGCAGCGAGCTCAGCTTTCATGTGCTCCTCTCTACATTCGATCTGTTGTTAAACACACACGCTGAGCCTCACCTGCCTCCCTTTCTCCTCTGCTTGCCAAGTGGAGACAAGGCAGATCAATGCTAAAGTCTCAACTAAAACACCACAAAGTGAGGCACTTAGGGCGTGAGGTGGATTCAGCCCCTCTTCATCTATCTCCCAGGCGCTCCCTCCATCCGTCTGTCTGCCTTTCACATTGTTAAAACGAGCAGCCACAGCCTGGACCCTTCTGCCGCGCTCTAATAGGGAACCTTATGATGTGACGCAGATAACTGAGGTGGCCTGGGGAGAGCAACTTGAAACGTGCTTACACACACGCACGCACACACGCTCAATCTTCCATCCTGGCAGAAGGCTCAGAAGGTGGATTTGTCTTGAAAGCTCCTCAGTGGTTCTAACACACAGCTGCATCCAGCAGGCTCTCTGGAGCTTGTGACCGGCTAAACGGATATAGAGACGTCGGGGGGTGGGGTGGGGTCTCCTCAGCTGGCAAGATGAAGAGAAGGCCTATCCCTCTGTGAAGCACCACCATCCTTCCCTCCCTTTGAGAGCACATGGAAGAAAGACAGAAGAAGGGGGGTGAAGAAAATCGAACAAGATCAGTTTATGATTCAAGTGTGTGTGAGTGAAGACTTCCCTGCGTCTCACACCAGCTTAGGAGGGTTGAAAGAAGCCATATAGCTCAGATAGAGAGCCTTATTTATCTGTCTGGTAGTATGGTTCTATAAGCTGCAAAGTGATCTGTAACTTTTCTCAGTATTGAGGACACTTTAAAAAAGTTTCAGAGTAGGGGGCAGATTTAAATGAAGCTATGATGGTACCCAAGGTCAGCACTGATTTCCAAACATTAAGTTTTTGTCTTAAATTTAATGTTCTAGTTTTATTGCATTTGTTTTTATCTTGTTTGGTTAAAGTGAGGTGAAAAAATTATGATGAGGATAATTTTATTATATAAATATTAGGGATGCACGATATAATCGGCCCCCTATCTGTATCGGCCTTAAAACTGAATATCGGACATCGGCCACCCCACCGATATTTAACCTGATATTTGATCAGCTTCTAAGTTTCTAAAGTCTAAAAAAAAAAAAAAAAAACTACTTCTTCTTCCTTTTTTTTACAGACTTAAAAACTATTATAAGTTAAAATATTGATACATTAAAATATCACAATATCTTCATATGCTGATATATTGCCATTTAAAAACACCATATCAATCTCTTTTACTAATGAAATATTGCTATATGTCATCGTTATGCTACGAAATACGCCGAAAATTCACAAAATTTTGCCATATTTTTATATGTTGATATATTGACGCGGTATCGATCTATTTTACTAACAAAATCTCACAAGAATTTGCTAAATATCACGAGAGTTTTTAACAGAACGATGAAATTTCACGAGATTTTGAAAGTAAAATAGATCGATACCGCGTTTTTTAAAATCAATTTGATATCAGCATATGAAAATATATTTGAGTATATTATTTGTGTCAGAAATGGATAACAAAACTGCTATTTTCAATGACTAATTATTTTTGTCCAGCTTTAACATCGGTATCGATATCGGTTATCGGCTACATGAGTTTTAAAATATCGGCATATCGGATATCGGCCGAAATCCCAATATCGTGCATCCCTAATCAATATTTGTGAAGGGATACCTTTAAGAACTAATGCTTATAGTAATGCAAGTCTATAAAAGGATTCCAGTAGACTGGAAATACAAGAAAATGGCCGTGTTAACTTGGAACATAAAGCTTCTTTCAGCAGAGGTGACGACCTGCAGGGTTCAGCCGATGACGGACTCTGGAACCTGATGCTTGATAGATTTGGGGTAAAGTAAAAGGTCCCAACGAGGATGTTTGACCTTATTGCAGTTCGCCTGAAAAATCTTTGATTTATTTCATTTCCTTTCAGAAATGAAAAAAACCCAAACCAAATTGTATTTTAGAAATATAAGCTGAATTAATCTAATCTAAAATAAGGTTTCACTCTATAATCATTTTATTTGATTGCTCCAACAGTAAAACAACATTTCCCTTTGTGCTACATTTTAATTCTGGATGTGTTTGACCACTTTGATAGCTTGTGTGGTTAATAAAGATCCTGATGATTGCCACCAACATGGATCAGTCTCAAACTTTCTGATAATTCGTTTAATTTTGAGCCATAGAAAAACAATTAATCTTAAAGCTGCTTTGAAACCTGAGATCTTTAAAAATAACTTAAAACAGTAATAGGTTTGAGAGCCACCTCAGTTGATCACTACTAGTTCTGGATAGGTTCTGTTAATAAAAAATACAAAATATACTAAAAGTTAAAGTTTTCCTTTTTTGTTCACCTTTTTAACAACTAAATGTGAGCCAAAACAGCCCAGATACATTCTTAAAGGGAAGCAGCAGACAGATCCTGAGGTTTGATATCAGGCTGTCCTGAGAGACCAATGAGGAGAGGAGGGGGATTACTGCAGGTTGAGATGGGCCAGAAGGATTGAGAAGAAGAAGAATCTCTGCTTTGTACCTGAACTTCAAAGATGGCCGTCTCATGTCTTTGTGTCTGGCTCCCTCTCTGCCTGTGACCTGTAAATGGCAGAAAGATAGTGCGATCACCTTTGACATGCCTCCTCTCAGCCTCTTAGGGGGTCCGGATAATTGCTATGGAAACAAGATGTAACAGAGGTCACTGGATTGGCTGAGCCATGCTGCCGGTTGGCCTGATGAGGCCTTTGATCCTGCCTGTTCAGATCTGTGCTTGTAGCCATGTTGTGCTGACATATTTGTAAATTAAGGGTCTCTTTTTAATGCTTTTATTAGCCTTAGAAAAGAGAGGAGGAAATGTGTAATAATCAAGGTAAACATTCAGCAAGATTGTAGGAATGTGGCTGTGATCATGAGATGGACCAAGGACTGCCATGTAGGAGAAAAGATTCATGGGAACTATTGACTTGGATAAAGATTTTTGTTAAGATAAGTACAGTGACGCTTTTTATCAAGACCAGCAAGCATTTCATTAAGCACTTAAGTAAAAGTGGTGATAGTACTGTGATTTTTCCCTGAAGCCTGATTAAAACTGTGAGAGAAGTTCGTTTGAGTATAGGAACTCTTTTAGTTGCTCACAGAGAATAGATTCCAAGATTTTTGACAAGGCACACAAATTTGACATAAGCCTATAATTGTTTGAAACTGCAGGATCATCTCCTTAGAGTAAAGAGCTGTCAAAAGTGGACGGAAGGAATTTCTTTGTTGTGAATCGAAAGATTATAAAGAATTACAAGAGGCTGTGAAACAAAATCAGCAGCTTATTTGAAGAAAATATAGTTCTATCATGTCTGGCCGAGGAGGTTTCCTATGATCTAACGCCTGGAGTATGTAATTGTTCCACTGGAAAATGTCGACATTTAAAAGGATTACCAGAAACTTTGGGGGATCAGTGTGAGGAAACAGACTTGTTAGCCGAGGCTCCAGGAAGATGTTGCAGGGTAGTAGCAGGCTTAGGCCTGTTAGCCAGGGTTCAATGAGGAGGTGGAAAACTCAGGCCTGTAATCTTAAATTATAAATGCGTCCTTTGAGCTCAATTATTTGAAAATCTACATTTTTCTAAATGTTACTATAAATTAACACATAGTTCCTTTCACTAGCATATTAATACAACCTACAAACTCTACTTATCTATATTGTAAAACCTTAAGATTCTTTTTCACAGATTTAATTTTTATTAAAAGCTTTATTATTTAAAACCTAATTTAAATGCCTTTAAACATATCAGGTGTCTGATTATTGTGATACATATGCCTTATAAGATAATTTTATTATTTATTTATCTGATTCTGACAGAAAAGTAGTGATATTTCACATATGTGGGGGAAGGAACAATCACGCTTTGTCATATAAAACAGATCCAAATAAAACAAAATAGACAATCGAAGTCACTCTTGAAATTATTTATAACTCCGATTGAGATTAAAGTGCTTTTTATTTTATCCAGAACGCCTAGGAAAAGAGGCAGGTGTCTGTTGACATGGAAAGTAAGAAGAAGAAGAAGGCATAAAAAAGGCTCAACTCTCCCTGCAGAAGGTGCGCTAGGAATTTGAAGGAGAAACAAATTCCCTTAGGAAACTTACCTTACCTTACCTTACAACCCTGTAGCAGTAGGTCAAAGATAAGTTAGGTGGTGTTTAATTATGTTCGCCGTTTGCCTTCTTTTGCTTAATATAATCCTGGTGTCACAGGTAGCTGACTGATCACTTTTTTATTTAATTTAAAGCTGTGTGTTCGAATGCCACAGCCTAACAGTTGGTTGAACACCGTCAAGATTCTGTGGATTCTTCTTTGCCGATATTAGGCAGCTTTTGTTTCTGTTTGGCGGACTGATCGAAAATAGAAATATCATGGAAAATAAAGATTGTGAACAATTCCAGGAGAATTATAGGGTTAAAATCTGTTTCGATCAATTCTGGGTGCCCACCCCTACATGGCTTAATAATGTATAGATCAATTCTCATACCTATTGTTGATCTCTGTCTGAGTAATATAACGTTATAAAGTGTTTTCTAACAGTTCACACTACTACATGAGTAGTAGAAGTATGCAATTTGAGTTGCTATTGTATGGGGTCAATATCTGTATTTGAATACTCAAGCTGCAATGTTGATGTCGTGTTAGAAATATTAAAAATATTATCGGGATAGGAACAGCTATACTAAATACTATAGAAAATAGGAAGAAAAAAGATAATCTAGGGCAAAGAAAAGTTAAATTAATCTCTTAATAAATTTATCAACCAATAAATGAAAGATGTTTAAAAATATAATGGGCTATTAAATGATTTGATAAAAAAAAGGTGGAAATAAGGGAAGGAAGAGAGAATTAAGAAAAAAGAAAGGTAAAGAAAGAGGTGGGGGTGTTGATACATAATGTGAGTGAAAGGCAGTTAGAGTGTGGCTGACCTTTCCCTGGCCAGATTAGATTGGCCTGCCAAGACTGCTTAGAGGAACAGATAGAAGAACAGGGATCACACACACAGAGCAAACAGGCCACACGAACCGACTCAGTGTGTGTATTCACCCACATCTGCTCAGGAGGATTCAGCTTACAGTATAAGTGCAAGTACTCAAATTACAGAGCAGCATCGTATTTAACAAGACAGTTACAAATGTCTGGAAAGATTTCTTTTTATGGTTAATTATAGATGCCTTGTTGGTTGGGAAGCTTTCAAGGCAAATTTAACTTTTCCTTTTTCTAAGAAACCATTATAGATCGACCCAATTTAGAGGAACCTTTTAGCTATTAGATGGAAATTATGGATCAAAACCTTAAAGAAAGAGACACAAACAAATTTAGCTACACACCTACCATCAGAGTTGAAGTTGCCTTTGGACTCTTGCTCGCCTACGAAGACCCCAGTTGTTTACCGATAGCAACTGTTCAAGGAAAGCAAGTCTAGTCTGGAGACTCACACACAGAGACAGGCAGGTTGAACAAGACGGGTGTCAGCTCTGTCTGGTCCTCCCCCCACCCCAGACACTCGTAGGCAGCCCACTCGTCCACCTGAGAGCTTGTAGAAATTGGAATAGGTGTAAATAAGATGGCTGTCAGGTCTGTCACTGGCTGACTCACACACAGACTGCCTCAGTCGCAACTCACACATAGTAAGTCGGGAGTAATACCCACATTCGACCCCCCTCAAACTACCAACTACCTTTGTGCTGCAGATTGACGCAGTTTAAGTGACAGGTTGATAGGCTCATAGTCACGCGTCCACAAACACAGCTTGGGAGCGTTGGAGAGATGGACCTAAGTGACAGAGGGACAGACAGTCTTAAACAAACATGGAAGAGACACCTGGAAGTGATGGACACACAGAGCCAACTTGGTGGTTAAGTAGAGCTGAAGGGAGCAGTGAGGCAGCGGTAAGGGTTTGTCTGAGCGTTCATCGCTAGGCTTATAAAGGTGCCATTCAAACAAACACACAACCTTCCTCTCTCTGTTTCTCTGAACACATCAGAATTCATCACTTCACACCATCTCTCTGACTGCATCTTACTTTTTTTCTTCTTTTTTTTTTTTTTACCTCATCTGTCACCTGGTTGATTTGCAGAGGAGCTCAGTTTAACATAAGCTAATGGCGTTTCAGAAAGTTGGGTCATCTCTGGCTACATTAAGGTAGAAGTTGTTTATGTTGAGCGTTTAAAGAAATTGTTTCCCTCTCATGAGTTAAAGAGCTCAAAAAAAAGAAATTCTATCAAACTATTAAGCTTGTAATTGTTTTTTTTTTTTTTTTTTCAGATTTATAGTTTTTGTTCTGTGAGTAATGTCGAGTTGAATCATCCAGATGAATATTTAGCGAAGGCCCAAGAAGGCTTAAGAGTGTTCTAGGATAATGGTCCACTTTTCCATGTGTACCACTGGTAAAAGACATAATTTTCCTAAGAAAAACATTTCCCTCTTCCCAGGAACTGGATTTGCGACATGCAGCATCAAGGAGAGCGCGGCAGATAGCGATGCTGACCTTGACGTGGACGGAGACGATACGTTGGAGTACGGAAAGGCACAGTACACCGAGGCCGACATTATCCCCTGCTCTGGTGCCGGCGAGGATCAAGGGGAAGCCCGGGAGAGGGAAGCGCTACGAGGAGCTGTGCTCAAGTATGAACTAAAATCCTCAAAAAAGGTATACAGTTTGCTTTGCTGTAAATGCTGATGGTTGTCCTACTGTTGCAGCGGCGGGATGCCTTCCAACAGAATAACGCCAGAGTTCTCCAAATGGGCAAACGATGGTAAGAAAAGCAAAAACTAATGGTACTATTCATGCTGCAGAGGAGACCAGAAGATGGCAAATCTTGAAAATGAGAAGATCTTGCAAATCTGCTGTAAAACAAGAGTTCCCAATGAACTTTTACCTTCTTTATGATTACAGAGATGCCTTCAACGAGCAATGGGGAGAGCAGCAAGACAGAGCCCAGCACTCCATCATCATCCTCTTCTTCTTCGAATGCTCCACGAACCTGTAAAAACAGCGAAATTGAGAAGTAGGTGAAACTAGATGATTGAACATGGCAACTAATGGGAAAGCAGTTGGTGAAAATTAAAATGTGAAGGCTAGCCTCTGTGAATTCCTCTTTATATTAACATACCTCATACAGCAATATTTATTTATTCCAATATTAGGCTAATTGTCTTATATTTTAATATAAAATACACTGGTGGAACTTATTTGATAGGGATGTAAAAGATAAACAGTTGGTTGAAGGTTTTGTCAATTTTGTCAGTCTTATTTTTGCATTGTCTCAAGCGGGACAGGGGACAAACTAAATATGGGAAATAAGGACAAATGTACAAAATGCAGTGTTTGGCAAAAAAAAAAAATATATAATTTTACATCTTCCACAATTAAAATTTCAAAGGGGGAATCCTGGAAGGAAACAGTTTAAACTTGAGTCGGGCTTGAAAATAACCCAAAATAGAGACGCCCCCGAATCTAAAGATGCACTTTAAATCCAAGAAAAATGAAGCCAAAGTCCAGACCTAAAGCCTTCAGCAAACCAGTGGAAACTACTGGAAGTTTCTGTTCAAAGATGATGTCCCTCCTATCTGGCTGAGAGCAAGCTAAAGAAGCATGGCCATATATCATATGCTACATGTGGACAGCTAATAGATGCACATTTTTGTATTTTGTGTTGATATGTTACCTAAAACCCAAATGAGTATTTTGGCAGTAGTAACTTTAAAAAAATGTAAGGGACTTTGTCCACTCAGCTGTTAGCATTTAAGTCATTGTAAAACAGCTATAACTAACATCTTCCCCTTCAGTCATGTAGGCAGTTCAATCCAATAGATTATTTAAATGAATTAATCAGCACTCTGGCTGTGCACATTCTCCATATTAAATATCAGCAGATTGGATAATTGGTGGATAAACTGAGCCGCTTGAGATGTATTGATTAGAAACTCCTCTGTCAGAGCAGAGTGAGTGTTTGTTAGGTGAAACGATCCATTTGTTCCCTGTTGGTTACAGTGAGCAAGCAGTTACCCTGTGATTCATTCTAAAGGTGGTAAAGCTGCATATAGAACATGTTTATAAGCTAAATTGAAGAACTAGAGGTGTGTTTTTATTTTATGTTGGGGTTTTAGCTTCAAATTAGCAGATCCAACAAACCTCTACAGAGCACCTGCCTCTGGTTTTTTGAATGTCACATAATGTTTAGGTCCTGCTCTAATATGTTTTAACATATTTTATTAATTTGCTTTATGTGAATGCATCCAGGATCTAAGTCAAACTATTTTGTTTTATTATTTTAGTTGAACATCCACGCTGTCTATTGATATGATTAAAATAAATCAGTTAATTTAAGTGGATGGGAAATTCCACGTTCCTGGATAATGGCAATGGGGTTTCTATGCAGATAATGAACCAAAACCACATAGAACAACTGCTAGAAATCTGCTTTTATTAAAACTAGTACAAAAAAACTGCTTAGTTTTAAATAATTGAACAGCAGTACTAGGAGCCGCTGTAAAGGATTTAAAGAGCCACATCTACTAAGAAATGCTGTTGATGCCGTTTGGCCTGTTGCGGTATGCAGATTTGTTTGGTTACCAGTATGATGAGTTAAAATGACACACATGCACAGAGTGTTATTTTGCATGCCTGCATGGATGCTTGAAAAATACCACATTGACCTTTTGGTGCATCGAGCTGGTGGTCTACAGTAAGTTTAATTAAGCAATTAGAAGAGAAAAGATTTTATACAAAGGATAGTTCCACTTTAGCATCTGTGAAGTGGAAATTGATTTGTGCACTGGAGATATTATCTGTACTTCTTGCTCCTGCTAATGAAAATAATAAAAAAAAAAGAACAGGTTAGACCAGTTAGCATAAATGTCAATCTCTGTGTGCATTCCTTAAATGAGAGGAGATTTCCCAATCATTGCAAACATTTCTAAATCCAGCATGTCCCAGAACATCTAGAGGTGGACAACTCATACCAATGAAACAAAGCCACTTTGTTGTATAGCATTCAGTCTTCCTATTCACTGCTGAGCGTTTAGCTCTAGTTTTACTTTTCTATGTCTGGCTGAACTGTAGACCCTTAAACATGTCATTAAAAAGACCAGTTCATCTTGTGCTTCAGTGTCTCCTTACTGGTACTAAATTGATCTAACTTTCAGTATTAAGTGCCATGTGGTAGCTCTTAGGTTCGGTTCATTCAATGACTAAAAGAATGGTTGAATTTAAAAGCCTTGATAGAATTTACTAAGTAAAGGAATATCTGTATGTCATACTAACGGAATAGCAAATTAGTTACGTTCCTAAACTGCATAATGCTATCAAATATAGACGATGGGTTGAAAAATGTGTGTAAATGTTAAGAGTTCCCACTATTTTGAAAAGATTTCTAATTATTATGATTAGAACTTACTTGCTTTGGGTCTTTTCTGTTCTTTTCCACTTTTTCTTCTTGGTTTTTTTTGTCATTTTCATGGAACAGATATTGGTGTGTTACCACATGATGTTCTTCTTGAGGCTTTAGCAGGCACCTGGAGCAGAACATGCTTTAATCTAAGTATCCATTTAGGGTGAGGCCAACTAGATACCGAATGATTGCATTGGAACAAGCAGTCAGGTGCCTGGCTGGAACAATTCCCTGCCTCACTCCTCCTAGCTTGCTATAAATGCACGTATTTGTGGAGCTTCTGTGCCCTTCCATCCTCAAATGAAAATGAGATTTGTCTCCTTTTGTTACATTGATACATTGTGTGTGTGTGTGTGTGTATGTGTGTGTGTGGCTTTCCACAAGGTAGCGTTAGTGAAATCTCTCTCTGTCTCTGATCCCAGATGGGTAATGATCTGGTCGCCTCCCGGGGCGTCCTCGTTCCCCTGCTCATTCCCCTGCAAGATAAATGAGTTCTCCCTCTCTCTCTCTCTCCCTCTGACACACACACATACATATACGCATACATCGCCTGAGACGCTCTTCCCTCTCCAAGATAAATGGCCCCTCCAATGCCGCCAATGCGATTGCTGCCAAATTTGGAGCTCCAGCTGGAACAATGCGGAGTGATTTCCATGTGGTTTCTGCAAATAATTGAATCTGTCCTCAATTTGGAAGTGATGAAGCTAGATTTCTACCATGCACCTCACCACCCCCTTACACACACACACAGAAACACACACACACATACTGCCCAGTCGTCATCTCTGTGTTTCGCCGTCCTTTCCTTGCCGTATTTTACAGTGTGGTGCATCTTTCTTCCCATCCCTGTCTGGTTTCTCTCCTCCATCCCCTCCTGTCCTCTGTCTCAATTCTTCTCAGCTATTTACAAGGTTCCCCTAAATCCCCCATCTCTTAACTTTTGCTGCCCACACTCACACAGGGGGAAAGACAGGGGAAATCAATAGTGACTTAAATGTTTTATCATAGTGTCTCAGTGTAGTTAAGGCCTGGGCTAACAGGGTGATGCAAAGAATTATGCTCTAAAGGGTTTTACAGCAGCACATACTTGATGGATTTATTTAAGGGCGAAATGCTTACCCGGAGAGGATTTCAAATTAATTTGTGTTAAATTTTATCAGCTGTATGTTCCGGTGCTGAGGCGGAAGCTGAGTGAGACCAAAATGTAGATAGACAGCAGATGAAGACATTGAGCTGATTGAGATGGATGGTGGAGATCTCCCGCTACACACACATACACCCACGCTAATGAAATGAGAAATAGCCCCACAGACGCTGGGAACAGAGCGCTAAATAGAGGAGAAGCAGAGCCATCTATCTGTCTCTGCTTGGCTTTCTCACTTGCTTTTTCCTACGAGGAAGATTTCTGAGGGAAAGTTACACACCCTCCCCAAGAAGTTCAACTAACGTTTAAGAAATGTGGCACGCCGATGTGGGATTACCGGAACACAAGTCTACCACTAAAAAAAAAAAAGAAACAATACCCTAAGCTATCTTAGGGTAATTAGATTTTTCTTTTAATGCACTTTATATCCATGACATATTTAAACTTCTTACATCCTCTACAGGTGTGCCATGAATTATTGGGTGTGTTGTTTAAATTGAGATTAAAACTGCAAGATATTATACAGGAATTAAAAAAAGCTCTGTATATTCACATTCCCTACATATGCATATGTAGGTATGAGAGAGTAGGGCAGGTGTATTTACTGTATGAATTCATCCTTATGGGGATAAAGCACCTTAAATATATCAGGATGTCTTCATTAACACCCTCTTGAAATAAAACCTTCTATCCCACTGGAAGAAGACCAGTTCAGACCACTTATGACTCTTCTCTGTTATTGAACTATTTTACATTTTAGGTTAATCCAAATTGTGCTTGCCCAACCTGTTTCCCAAAGGGATATGAGTTTTCCTATTTTGGCTAAAAGCTAAACGACCCTGAGCTGGTTTAAGTCCGTGAAATAACAAAGGATTGAAGGATTTTTACATGTGGCTCTTAGTATTGCAGAGGTAACCTTTCAGCCTCAGAGAGCTGTCTTTTTATTGCTTGGCCCGATTAAGTTGTATTACTTTCTCTCCAACTTTTTTGTATGTGAGGCCTAAGGACTGTTTTTCATAGCTTTTTCTACTTTCACTTAGAAGCTCCCATCCTGCCAAAGGAAGATGAATGTGTTAACATTGGTGGAACACAAAGCAATCTGTACTACTGAAGTGTGCTTAATAAATATGTATAAGGGAGATTAAAAGTGAAAAAAAGAGCAATATGAAATGAAAATGAAAACAGTTTTTCCGATTTTTTACAAACATCTCAAGAAAATGGAAGATATCCCTCGACAGCTTAGTTGGCGGCAAAGCTGCAAAGAAACTTAATAGAACTGTTAAGGGACAGTTACAGTCCAGCTTTGTCCTGAATCTGAGGCTGTTTTATTTGCTGGCAGGCTAATCAAGGCTAAATGGCTTTTTACAAGCTAGACACTATTAAGAGGAGAGGGTATGGCAGTTTATAGGGCACGTTGGTGGCACATCAGGCTGGGTCTTTATAGACATAGGACGATGATGGGTTTACAGGGAGGAGGAGGTCTCTGCTCTGCATACAGCTTTAGAAAAAAAAAAACAGAACTTAATGCTGGACTTGTGGTTGACATCTGACTTGAAGAAAGCCTGAGTTCCCTGCTAAAAGTCATCAAATTATATGAAAGAAACAAGCTTTAAATTGAATATGGTTTTGTTTTATTTTGTTATTCTTCACTACTTTTCAGTGTTTAAGACTGGGGACGCTGCAGGATTCCAAAGAGCATGAAACCCAAATTACTACAGTACCCAAACCTTTAAACCAAATGAATTGTCTGTCAAATCCCTTTTTTAGCTAAGTGTCACCATAAAAAAAAAAATAATAAAAAAAAAAATAATAAAAAAAAAAATTAAGGCTCTTATTTTAATGGTGTGCTTTTTCCGACTGACCCTAAATATAACTTTAAGACTTTTATTTTGGAGTGAAATTGGAAGCAGTTATTGAAATGCGCTGTAGTTTTGAAAATCTGCTAAAATGAAAAAAACAATTGAAATGCATATTTTGGTAAAATAAAGAATAAAAATGTAGAAAGTGATCCAATTTTTATCCAAATCAGCTCACTGGACAAATAGTAGACTGGTGACACTGTTTCCTGGGGAGTGTTGGCATGGTGGTTAGAAGGTTGGAAGTACCCGGTTTGATCCCCTCAGCCTGCCCTCTGGGTTCCTGAGGAAAAACCCTTATCTCTGATTGCTCTCCAGGCGCCACACAATGGCAGCCCACTGCTCCCCAAGGGGATGGATCATAATACAGAGAACAAAAATCCCCATACATCACAATAAGTGAATATGTTCGCCAAGAGTAAGAATATCTGACATGTCAGATTGCAGCATTAAATTTGGATTTATCTAGTCTCTATTAGTGATAAATAATAGAAGAGATTTCCTTAATCCAGCTGAACAGCAGTGTACAGAAACTGGTGGTGAAAGTTAACATTTAAAAAAAACTTTCTCTTGATACGCCGGTCATTTCAACTCTTTCTATAACATCTTTTTCAAAGTGGCTTTGCATCATAAGTTAACTTTTTAGTTTAAAAAAAACTTTTAAACATTTTAGGCTACTTTGGTATCATAAACTAGATTTTATAGTGTATATATTGAAGTATAAATGGCCTGAAACGATTGGTGTCACACTTAGAAAGGAAAATGAGAAAGTTATCCAGCGTTATATTTCCTGTGGTCTTTGTTTCGTGTGCGGACGGTGGAAATGGAGCCATATCACACAGAGCTACTTACTGCTTGCGTTTACTGTCCCTTCCTTCTCTCTGCTTGTCCTTCCCCTGCCAGATCAATACCATAGATCACCAAGCTATCAGGCTGCAAAATGACCACATCACCATAAACACACACACACTCCACGTAACACACAAACACACCCAGTGCATCTCGGCCGAGAGCGAATGGATGGCTGTAATAAACATCTCGCCGTGTGCTCTCGACTCGCTGCACCGAATTATCATCAACGTTTGTGGTTGGTATTGATTTAGTTATGGCTGCTTCATATGCTGTTGAACAGTGTTAAATGCACATTTTCTGGCATCATGCTACACATTAGTCAGAGTCTCCTTATAGGCAGTGGGGAAAAAAAGGCAACTGGAGGGAGTAAAGGATGGCAAGAGGAGGAAGAGAAAGGATGTAAAGCTCCACCAAATATATAATAATAATAATATTAAAGGCAGGGAATATATCTGACTTGTATAAATGAATGTGGGGAAAATATTAAAACCACGGAGATAAGGGGTTTTGAGTCATCAATAAATAACTGAGGTAAATGCTTACTTATACCAACATAAAATATGTCTAATGTAGAAATAATCAGTTCAGATTTTACTTAAATGTCAAGCTGAACAAATATGAGGAGCAAATAGGATGTTGTTTTTAGGTTAACCTTAGGAGAGTTCTCTTTATAGCTATGCAGTGGCTTAATATTTCTCATGTTTCTAATCTTTTTTTCTGTGCTCTAGGGTGACAGAGGAAGAGTCCACAGCTACCACTATGGAGGCTCTGAAGGCCCGAATCCGGGAGCTGGAGAAGCAGATCCTGCGAGGAGACCGGTACAAGTGTCTTATCTGCATGGTGAGTATAAACTCCTGGAAAAAGCTGTTCATCAGGCAGCACATCATGCCTCAGCTTGGAGATCTTCCAAGAGTATTTTCTCTTTATACGTTGTAGAGGAGTGACCCTCAGCATAGAAACAGACAGACCAAAGCTGATTCATATGGTGGAATGGCCTAGTTAAAGTCCAGGCCTGAATCCAATTGATCCTTTTTAATAAGACCAGCAAAAAAATTTTTCTCTCACTGAGGCAAGAGGTGCTTTTTTTTTCTATATATTATTTTCTTCCTAAAATTTCCGACCTTTCTACATGTTGATATTAAAGAAATCTTCAGTTTCACTGTATCTCGCCTGCTGCCTGCTTGTTCTGCCCCCATGTGCATGCTATGAGCAGCATTACGCTTGAGTGTTGTGCAACTTTTGTTATGTTGGATAAGGGCTTGCATGGCCGAAGAGGATGTAATTGTTTTCTTATGCAAATAAATGCTTTGCTACCAAATCCATGTGCCAGTTCTTCATATTAACAGAGTTATTATTGAAAATGTGCTGTGCAGTTTGCAGTTTTCTTTGACAGCTAATGAGATTCACTGCTCAGAAAAATTAGATCTCTGAGTGACCATATCATTCCAAAGGAGGAGAATATTCATGTTTATCAGAGCCCTCCCACACGAGGTTACATCCTGTGATCAGTGTTTGTGCCCCCCACTTTATGTCAAGTACCCATCCTGTCATCCTTCAAGCTTGTAGAGACTTCAGCATTGGCATTCTGTTCCTGTGTGTGTGTGTAAAATGGGTAATTACCAACGCCTGCGCTTCCTAAAGGTCACTTAGTGCCTGAGGTGACACGGAGGGCAAGGCACAGCGATCGATCACTCACTGCCCCGTGGACACGCAGCTCTTCACCACTCATCTGTCACTGTCCCTTATCTCTCTCACACTCCGGGGCCCAGAAAGAAACGCAAATATGTGTACACACCCCTTCTTCTAATCTGTCTCTGTCTGTCTTAAGGTTGTCTCCGTCCTGTCCTGTCACTTTGTCTGAAATTAAAAGTCATCAGATTAGCCGTACTTATTGCCAGGGACGGGCAGATTGAATAGGAGCTGCAGGTTTTCTCTGAGCCTCAAAGTTTATACAGAAATACAAAAAAATGCAGAGTTGGCTTAGTGATCAGAGTAGATTATTAAGCAGTAAGGAGTTCCCTACATAAAGACAGCTTCTCACTGAATAATTAACTTTATGACTTATAACTTTTCCTTCATTTTTTTTTTTTTTTTCGTAGTTATTTTAAAGTGACTTAGTCCTGCTGCCACCATGTTGGCAAATTTTTCTCCATCCTTGGCTTATGGGCAGCTTGGCTCTTCAGTACAGCAGCTACAGTGGATGTCTATCCCCATCTACTGGTCATGTTGGAAAGTTTGGTTATTCTTTGCTTTTTCTGGACCACATATTGTTAAAATTAACTGCCATTTGAAAAAAGATGTAATTTTGTAGGAAAGCAAAGCAAAAAATTACAGATCTTGAAATATTATGCTTTGAAACCATTAAACTCCCCCTTTTGTTGGATTACAATTTGAAGCGTCATTAGGATTCTGTTGGGTATACCAGCACATACTGCTGCACAATTGGAAAGAAAAGGTCCATGACTTTGAAATGGCTTTTGCTAAAAAAGATTTGAAGTGTGGTGCACATGAAGTGAGGCTGTGGGGAAGTTTAAAGCAGGCTTGTGTTATTTAACCTAACTAGACATAACATGGCCGTCCACCCAAACTTAAGATCTAGATAAAAATATTACTAAATAAAGCAACTAAAAGACATATGCTAAGTATGGAGGAGCAGCGGCTTTCCTAAGTTTGGGTTTGAGAACCCCTTGTCAGAAGTTTGTATCTCTGCTTCTGTCTCCTCGAACCCCAGTCGGCCTCAGCAGATGGCCGCTCACACTGAGCCTGGTTCTTCCTGTTAAAAGGGAGTCTTTCCTCTCCACAAGCATGCTTAGTGTGAGGGATTGCATTCCGGTCAATGAAGCGAAGCAATCAACCGGTTTTCCTTAGATAGAAACTTAGAGCCTTGAGATGACGTGTGGTGAATTGGCGCTATATGAATAAACTGAATTGAATTGAATTGTCAGGACGATCAGTTATATTTTCCAAAAATCTATCAATCTTTTTAAGTTTAAGATCCTCTAGACATCCAGTGCCCCGTAGCAGATGCTTACATGCAAAGTACCATGTGTTAAACAAACGCTCCACATCACCCTGAACGAACAATCCCCAAAGTGAAACATGGTGGTGCCACCATTTCACTGTGGGAATGTCTTTCAGCTGGAACAGAAAAGCTGGGCAGAGATGACAGGAGGATGGTTGGAGCCAAAGGAAAGGCAAAATATGTTTTAAAAGATGTGCTTAATTGTGTTGGTCTGTCACATGCAGTCCCAGCAACAAATGAATGTTTGTTATTTAGTAAAATAGGGAGGGAATTTTTAATGCCCAGTTTATTTTAGTTCTTTGTTTATTTCACAGTTTTTCTCCCATGTAAGGCATTTAATTCCTCAATGGTAGCAAACACCTTAAGTCCCTTGGATTATCCATTATCTTTCAGTCTACTGACTGGGACGAAGTGGTTCTGCTGGTTACAGTGTAGTTTCAGGTTATCTGGCTGTCGGTGGGCCTCTGATGGCTGTCATTGTGGCCCTGTGTGTGTGTGTGTGTTTGTGTTTGTCCACGAGCCTGTTTTGTCACACCTTGGTGTCGCTGAGCACGATGAGTTTAGCTTCATGATTAGCTGCAACCTTTCGCCCCTCATTCTCCTCTCCCTGACCTCACCCTCCCCTCCTTCTGCAGAGAAAGCCTGCTCTCAAGCCAGGCGCAGAGATCAAGAGCATAGGGGTGTGGTCGGGCGCCCGGCCACTGGCCAATGAGGTTGGAGAGAGGCAACCTAAGTCCCTCCCCCTCGGCCTGTACTGTCTGTACAGGGGCCTTGTGATTGGTGGCTACGGCAGCAGCATAAAGAGGCTCCTTCCTCAACCCCTACGGAGGGTAAGGCACTACCTCCCTCCTTTTCCTGCACCTCTCGTCCCCTCCTTACCACTATCCCCAAGTCATCTCTCCATTTTGTTTTTGAGATGAAAAGCCGGCGCTGCTTCTCCATGGCTTTGTCCCGCATCCCCTCCCTCTCCTGCCCTTCCTTCATCCGTAGTCGTTGCCTGCCCGATATCGTGTCAGTGAGTGTGTTCCACCTGCAGGTTTGCGGTTCAGTCGTCCTCATTGTGCTGCCTTGCTCAGTGGTTTGTACCTTGCTGGCTGTGTTGTTTCATGGACAGTGGTGAACTGGTCAGGGAGCCTTGAGTTCTGGTTGTTGTGTCGGTGACGTTTGTTGCCTGTCAATCTGGACAGATTTCTAAACGTTTCTCTTCTCTTTAGGACTCCTACACGATGCCTCTCACGTCTATCCAGTGCTGGCATGTCCATTGTGAAGAGTGCTGGCTTAGGACTTTGGTACGTCTCAACCCAAACACACACACACACACACACACACACATTCTCCTCGGACTCGTCTTTCCTGCAGCTCCTCATTTTATGCAATTATTGCAGCCTCATTTCACAGTCAGTGACTTTCTCGCCGTTCTCGTGCCCAACAGGGAGAAACTAAAATGGAATATTCCCCAAATGACTTGTTCTAATATTGCACACACAATCCAGGCAGTGCAAACACTTTTAGCCTCAGTAGGAGAAGAGCTTAGATGGAATAGTCCCCAAAAGGCCTGTTAAGATGTTGGAATAAAGTAGTGAACTCAGACCTCCAATATCTAATACATGGAGCCCCAGGTCCTTGTTCACACCAGCTTTGTGATTTTGTTTGTTATTAGTTAGTCTAATATATTCAGTTGTGTGTAATTAGCCATGGCTAATGTGGTAACAAAGAGTAGAAGAAAACCGGGTTGTTTAAGTCGGGAAAATAAACAGTCTCAATTCTTTCCTCCCTCTCGGATTATCTCTTTAAATAAGCTGCTTATTAATGTCTTTTTTCCTGCTATTCCCACTCCGTCACATCCTATCCCTAAGGTCTTGTTCAACTTGCTGACATATTAAAAGTAACACTCTCTAATCTCTGGGAAGTAATGACCACGGTATTGCTGAGCTGGGGCACAAATACTGTGTAACATGTAGCAACCAATGCTCTGAATATTGTAGGAAAATAAAAATAAAAAGTTAAGACATGAAGCCACATTCAAAAACGATGCCAAAACTAATAACTTACCTCTAGAGAATCGTAACGCTGGTTTAAAATCCACCATTTAAGAAAGCAACTTTTTTTCTCCAAACATTTGTAAAACAATGAGATGCTTTCAGGTCAGTGATTTCAACCATCATCCAATGATAGGATTCCACCTCTGCAGTTTGTCTCTTTCTGTTTCAACGTGCACAAAGCATGGTCCAAAAGAGATATAGATGAGCTAGCTTGGTTTGGGGATGTTTTTCCAGTCATTGCAAATCCCTGACATCAAAACTCTCCTGAAAACACTCCTAAATATTAAAAACAATCTTCCAAGAAGAATTGAGTGTATTGTAAATGCAAAAGTTGGACTGACATCATTCTAAAGCATACACAGATGGATTATATGGTAATGGTCCTATTTGGGTGTGCTGAGGACATTACCTTATAGTGTAGGACTCAGATTTACCAACTTGGTCTCAAGGAGCGTTATGCGCAGCGTCTGTACCTCTCTGTGCACTTCGTTCTGCACAAGCCCGCCCTGACCTGCCATTTGGGGAACAGTGATCCAATGGTGGGATTGACCAGTAATCCCACCATAGCACACATAGAGAGCAGGCTCTGGTCAATGCAGAAAATTTCCCTTTATCATCACCAGAATACAGCCTCCCAACTGTTCTGAGTCATTACATTTTTCTTAACTTTACCTATACATATTAAACACTCCTCCAGCTTCGCCATTACATTAACCAAATATTTGCTCTCACTATACTATTGCTGAAATTATTAATTGGATTTATCGTGATTAATCGATTATTGAAATCATCATCAACAAATTTAGTAAATTGATGAATCATTAACTAGAGTTTAAAGACTCTAAAACGTGCCTTTAGCTGACAGAAGGACCCAGATTGAGGAGCAATTATACAAAAATTGTAAAAAAATTTGTCTGTCAATAAGCTCTGTCCAGAATTCCACAAGTATAAATGTTTAAATTTCACCTGGTATAATTTCTCAAAAACTCTTCTTTAAAGAACCTTTTTCTATTTAATCAATAAACGATTAATTGGAAAAGCCCTACACTATACCTAAACGATTTTGACGCCGATAGTCCACGAAAAAACGCTGCCATTGTTCAGTTGCTATGTTTACCTGCACAAAATTTCATGGCCAGATTGAAAAGTATTCAGATTAAAAAGCAAAAAGCAATCTGATTGCATCTTTTATGTGAACATAAGTGATCAGAATAAAACGATAAAAGCTGACTAAAAATATGTCCTATAAAGATGCAATTCAAAATGCTGTGATAGCATCTAACCACTCAAAGGGGAACTATTCTGACCTATTATGTCCATGTAAGTGTAGCTATTATGTTTTCCTTTGAAACATCTGCCTCCACTTCCTTTTTTCTGTTTCAGATCATTTGGATCATATATTAAATCAGTATCTATAAAGCTCTAAAATGCTCTTTAACTCTCCGCTCCTGTCAAAAACAAACTGCAGCAATAGTGTACAGTGAAAGGCGCAGCTCCTATGGAGGCTAGATTCAAATTAAATCAAAGCTTAGTTCAAGCATCTCTGATTTAGCATTGTGGGGTATTATGGTCTGCCTTTAATAAGCTTTTATTTGGCATTTATACGTGTTAATGATTGTTTGGAACATGACTTTAATCTAAAATCAATGCTGATTCATGGAGAACTTCATCTGAGTACAAAGAAGCAGGCAGCTGAGCATGTTTTATTAATTACCTAAACTGTAATTTAGTTTTCAAGAAAAACTGTTCTGTCTACACGTGTTGTTGTTTTTTCTGTGGGTGTTAACTTATAAAGCATTAAACTCATAGCCTGAAGACAGCTGTAAAAATGGGAGGGCTGAACTGATCAAAGTAAATGCCGAGGAATCTAGTTAACAACAACCCCCAGCTCCTGGCTGCTGTAATGAGCAAGGCAGCTGGAGCGCAGCTTGATGGGAGCACACTTACTGACCTCTCTGCACAGTAGTAGGAAACATTAGCAGGTGTGCAATCAAATGATTGATTAATAATTATCTGTTGAAGGCTAAACCTCTTTGTACCACAGCTTTGCAAACACTGGACACTGTGGTCTGGTTCAGTTATGTTTCTAAACACCAGACAAAACATCTGTTCTAATCAGAAATTTGGTAAAGATAATGATAGACTCTATAACTGTTATTTAATAAAAACAACACTGTTCTTTTTTCTTTAATTTTTTTGCTGGCTTCCATTTTACACAGTAAATTCAATGTGTAGATGTAGTAATTTCATGGAACATGAGTACAAAGCGCTGTGATCCTGTCAATCCCGGTTAAGCTAATATGATATGGAAGTTTTCTGGCTATCTTAACATATAGTCATTGTCATGATGTTAAATTTTATTTCCTAGATTTTTAGTATTATAATTTGGATCCACACAGTGCTTCTTTAAAAAATTGTAAAGATAATTTGTTTCAAGAGGTTAAATCTTAAGGGAAAAGTAACATTCCAAAAGCTTTACATTAGAGTAGGGTCTACATAATGACCCATATTCTACATCTTGCAAAAGAAATAAACATCTAACTTGATTTTTGTTTCCAGTTATCTCCAGATCTTTGTCATTTATACATTTCTCCTATAACCATTACATGTTGAAAATTAGTACAAGGAATGTGCCTGAAACAGAACAAATAGGATGGAAGGGAAGCTGAATAGATGGAGGGGTGGAGGATAGCTTTTGAGACCACCCACTCAGAGTGGAAGAATGCTCCCTGCCCTGAGCTCCATATTATCGCCTGCTGCTTTACTACAGATGGCACGTTATGAAAGTAGAACCTCTCGAGGGGAAAGGGTGAAGAGAGAAAAAGGTGTACTGTTGTTAACAGGTTGAGTTAGACCTGCATTTTAGAAAGGATGTAATACGAGTCACCATGAATTTTAGCACTTCTGTCAGACCTTCGAAAACGTTGATGGTGTACAGGAAAGATCTACATTTACATGTTTAAGCATTCTCTCTCTGACTTTTTTTCCTGAAAAGAGATTACCTGGGACTGACACTTTAAATAACACTTTATTAGGTTTATATGTTAAATGACTATGAGGCATGACAACAGATTTTGACAGAAATTGTAATCGTACTCTGACTAGGGAAGTGGCTCAGTTTACGGATGGCAGAGCTTAGCACTGGGTTTGCTTCTTCAGACGTTCAGCCAAGAATACCAGTTAAACACGGATTTTATACATTTTCAGCGTCACATCCTGCCACATCAAAACTCGCATCATTATATCATACACGTTTGTACATGAGGAGACTTCACCAGCTCCAGCCATATCAAGATATTACAGTGTTCTTAGATCAAGTTCAACCTGATTGTGCAGTGACAGCTATCTGTGGAGAATAATCCACTCTGTAATAGGGATGGAACGGTTTATGAAAACCGTCCGAACCGTTCGGTTCGACTGTCTCGGTTCGGTTCGTGTGTGTTGCGTTAGGTTCATGCGCTGCTCCTTTTTCTCATAGGCAACGCATGTACACTCCAGAGCAGAAGGTGGCGG